AAAAAAAAAAAAAACATATTTCAAGAATCTACTAAACATTGATCTGGATCTTTCACCCCACCACCAACATGGTGTCCATTTAAACACAGTAACTCAGTTTTTTTGTGCTGCTGACCAATGAGCAATTTGAGATTTTGTGTTAAAAGGACCCAAGTTGAGTTAATGCAGGCAGGGAAAGGATTTATTATTTACCACCCACGAGGTCGTTGGCCCAGATGGGCTGGGATTCAGAATATTGTATAAAACAGAATTAAACAGCTTGGGATGCATTTGACTATAAGACCTCGGGTGGTTTCACAGCACCATACCAAAAGTGAAGAGAAGGGATATTTGCTATTGCTGCTTTTCTCTTTATTTCTCCCTTAAACATTGTACATGGCAATGTTCAGATTTATAACTAAGTATACCATAATAAGTATACATATATTAGTTCCACATATCTATATAGGTTATGTATGTACCAACATTTTCTGTGTGCCATAGAGCTCTGTTATTTTCTAGAAACTATTAAAATTGCATCACATCACATCAAGGAGTCACACAGTTGCACTGGTGCAACATGTTTCTTCATTACCATATACACTCTCTGTAGTTTATATTGACTCAATCACACACAGACATACACCGTTCCGCTGTTAGAAATACTTACTAGAGCAGCAAAGGTGTATTAGTCCACCGCTGAAAATATTCCCCAACAAATGCATTATTTCCTCCAGTCTGAGTGACGTTTGCTGAAAACTACAGTGCCCAGGCTTTTTAGGAAATCACATCTCACCTCTTTAAGAAATACAATAACAAATGTATGTCTTCAGTAGGAGTCAGTGGGCTTAGGGCAGTGTCACAGATAGATCAAGAAAGCGTTGTTTTGGTCTTTTCATTTGATTTTTTCCACAGTGAACCTGTTAACCTTTGAATAATGTTGAAAAGAAATAGACAGTCATTTGCCAATAATCACCTCTTTTCATGTTCTGAAAAACTTGTTTTGACATCAGCAACGTTCTTGGATAAGCTCGGCTGCCACTTTAGTAAATGAGTTTTGTGAGTCTGGTCAGTGCTCTGAGCGAGGTTATGTTCTAAAGAGTGCAATCAAAGCCAAAGAGAGCGAAGCACAAAGACGCTTTCACACCCAGGCCTCATTATCTGTGCTCTTGGCTTGCATGTATGGTGAATTTATCTCCCCCATCCACCTTCATATCTTCATCTACAGTCGCAGCTTTCAATTACCGGGGATCCTAATGAACTGTAGACATACTCCGTGGAGACATAGTGGACTGGCAGGCTCATTAAGGCTGATGAGTCAGAGGGCAAATAGGGATGATCAAGGTTGTCTGCAAAGGCCTGATCACATTGACCAAATAACTGTCTGGTTGCTGAGCCCATAAGAGTGGATCATCTCAGTCTTTGTTCTTTGGTTTGAAAGTGGAGTATCCATCAGTATCTGTCTGTCACTCCAATAATGCTGCATCACATTGAGATGCAGGCTTTGGATTGTTTGTTACCTTCTTTATTTTCAAGTTCTCTGAGGATGAGGACTTATTTCTTTACTAATGTAAAATATCATAAATGTTGGAAATTGTAGATAAAGGCTTGTGGGTGTCTCACTGTCTAATAAGTCCATTAAAATATAATAAATCATTAATAAGGTAAACCACTTTCCACTTAGGGGTGTACTCACTATTGTTGCCAGCAGTTTAGACATTAATGGCTGTGTGATGTGTTATTTTGAAGGGACAGCAAATTTACACTGTTACACTGTACAAGCTGTACACTCACTACTTTACATTGTAGCAAAGTGTCATTTCTTCAGTGTTGTCACATGAAAAGATCTAATCAAATATTTACAGAAATGTGAGGGGTGTCCTCACTTTTGTGAGATACTGTATACTACAATGATTATGTTAGAATCAATCTTAACAACACAAGATAGATCTAGGTTTTGCATCATCTTCATTCTACATGAAGATGATGCAAAAAACAAACGGCAACAAAGAAAGTAGAGACTTTTTGGCAAGAGCCCAACCACATTCACCACCAAGGACACTTCAGAGCACATAAATCTCATAGGCAAACTGGGCCAACTTGAGCCAAATGAAATGAAACAAACCAAATGAAAAATGTAATTTAAATGATAATGAATGTAAACATCACACCATTTGTACTGTGATCATTTCAAAACTTTCAAAATAGAAAGTAAGGAGCATTTAAGCAAGACATTTATTTTGTGAAAGTGATGAAAACAGCTGTAACTCTTAAGACAGTGAGCTGAGAAAGGGCGTGAAGAGTGAAAGATGAGAAAGGGGCTTTGTGAAAAGACTTGACTGGCAGATAAAAAAACATTTAGCTTGGGGGGAGGGTGGTGAGGCGTCAACTGTCATATTCATGCAACCAATAGTAATCTTATGCCAGACTGGTCCGACTAGTACATAACTGAACTCCCGCAACACATTGTCATGTTGTGAAGTCTCACAGACTCACGGACGAGATGAGAAGTGGCTCTTTACCATTTTGAAGCTTCATCATTCGGCATGCGACCGCACAGAGGGAGCATTTTACCATTTTTAATCTAGCAAAAGAGTACAAACAGAGGCTCGTGTCACTGCAACCACAGTACAGAACTCAATTATGAGTTTCTGATTGTGTCAGCAGAAACCACCCAAAAAAAACAGCTCTGTGGTAAGGGAATCCTAATTTCACAGCCGCCCACATGCTCCGATTCTGTAGATCTCATATTCCCCTGGTTCCCTGGAGGGGAGCAGGATAAAGCCGGGATTATTGGTTACAGGATTGCATTATGTCTGTGTGTGTGTGTGTGTGTGTGTGTGAGAGAGAGAGACAGAGGGGGTGAGAACAGAGATATTTCTGTGTAAACTTGTTAATTCAAGGTGTGAGAGAAGTGAGAAAGCGTGACTCTGTGTGAGTGAAATGAGCGCATTATTTATGTATGAGCTTGCTTATTCAAGCTGTGAGGTGTGTGTGTGTGTGTGTGTGTGTGTGTGTGTGTGTGTGTGTGTGTGTGTGTGTGTGTGGACATGTATTACTCATGTTGTAGGGATATAAATGTTTACACAGTGAAATTGTGGGGACTCGCCTTCCTTTTGGGGCATAAACATATCTCATATCGTATATTATTACATTTTAAGGTAAGGATTTGGTTTGAGGTTAGGTTAAAAGACAGACTGTCCACATCCCCAGGGTTCGGGCTAGGCAAGTATGTATATATATATATATATATATATATATATATATATATATATATATATTTTCTCTATATAGTCTATTTCTCTCAAATATTGTTCACAAATCTGTCAAAATCTGTGTTAGTGAGTACTTCTCCTTTGTCGAGATAATCCATCCTCCTCACAGATGTGGCATATCAAGATGCTGATCAGACAGCATGGGTATTGCACAGGTGTGCCTTAGGCTGGCCACAATAAAAGGCCACTAGAAAATGTGCAGTTTCACTGTATTGGGGGGGTCTTGGGGGGTCAGGAAACCAGTCAGTCTCTGGTGTGACCTCCATTTGCCTCACGCAGTGGAACACATCTCCTTCGCATAGATGAGGACTACGAGCATGCAGATGAGCTTCCCTGAGACGGTTCCTGACAGTTTGTGCAGAAATTCTTTGGATATTTAAACCGATTGTTGCAGCAGTTGTCCGGGTGGCTGGTCTCAGGCAATCTTTGAGCTGAAGATGCTGGATGTGGAGGTCCTGGGCTTGTGTAGTTACACTTGGTCTGCAGTTGTGAGGCTGGTTGGATATACCGCCAAATTCTCTGAAACGCCTTTGGAGACGGCTTATGGAAAGAGAACAGCTCTGGTGGACATTCCTGCAGTCAGCAGTGTACACTCCCTCAAAACTTGTGACATCTGTGCCATTGTGCTGTGTGATGGAAATGCACATCTTCGCGTGGCCTTTTATTGTGGCCAGCCTAAGGCACACCTGTGCAATACCCATGCTGCCTGATCAGCGTTTTGATATACCACTCCTGTGAGGTGGATGGATTATCTCGGCGAAGGAGAAGTGCTCGCTAACACAGATTTTGACAGATTTGTGAACAATATTTGAGAGAAATAGGCCTTTTGTGTACATAGAGAAAGTTTTACATCTTTGAGTTCAGGTCATGAAGATGAGTTCAGAGTATATAGCAGTGTATACATATATATATATATATATATATAAAAACTTGAATGTTTCTATTAACTTAAGGATTTGCTATTTTTTTCTGTTACCACAGGGTGCATCAGTCCTTAGAGCCCACTTTGTTGTGTTTATGATCACTTTTGGTAATCTGCATCAGTTGAACTGCTTATTTAAATCCCTGAAGATTACACAATCCTACTTCTGTTTGGGGATAAAAGAAGCGACTAATTCAATTATTCCTTTGTAAAAACAGTGTGAAGTAGGAAGGCAACAGCAAGCATGGAAAATCCTTTTTAAGGCCTGGGTTGCGTGTGGTTTTCAAATTAGACAAACTGCCAATCTGCAGGAATTGTTGATATTTGGCACCACCTACTGGTTAAATCCATTGTGTGCCCTGAGTTTCTAATATGAAACTACAGTATATGTAACAAATTTTTCTACATCTCATCTTCTATACATATTAGACATTTATCATGAATTATTAGGATGATCTATCCATAAATAATAATAATCAGAGGTTGAACTCCAGGTGTAGACATGAGACTTATACTTGAGTCAGACGTAAGTCACAAAATGAGGACTTGACTGCTTTTTAAAAGCAAAAAACATTTCTCAAGTTTGGACCTGCTAAAATCAGGCTTTGCACAGCCATGTGTACATATACATATATTAGGCCTGTGCATTGAAAAGACACATAAAAAAACCCCACAACATCTTTGACAATTTGCTTATAACAACATTTGACTTGACCTAAACTTGCCTCAAAATGTTAACACAAAACACTTTACTAAAACATTTTGCTTTACTTAGTGAGATGAGCTGTACATTTCCATTAAACATAAAAAGAAAAGAGTCATAGTTCATTTTATTTAACCTTTATTTACTCAGGGTGGAGAAATCAAGCGTCCATTGAAACAGGAGCACTCATACACACTCAAACTGCCGTGCACTTTAGTAACTGGGTGCTGTAACAGAGCCGCCACAGTCGTGGTTTGTTGGATATTGAGCAAATACACTGAAATATTTAGAGGTTAGGTGTCCTGCTCAAAAGGGAGAAAACCAACATCTTACTTCAAAGGGGTTACTAATGCTGGCAAAACATTTGCTGCAACACTTTTTACTTCCTTCCTTCCTTTTCTGAATTAAGTGAGCTTTTACTGAAGATACAAATGTAAAATGCATATGTATAATGTGTGATAGCAGGAGGGAAATGCAGCTGCTTATGTTTAGCTGGTTCGATCTGTGTATGTTTTCATACACAGAGTCATTACACAGGTGTCAGGAGGTGTTTTCCTAAAACATTTCCCTTTCAACTTACTTCAGTGCTTTCTGGTATTGATCCATTTCATGTGTTTACACCTTGAAACTAATAAAAACCTTAGTTGGTTTAAATAACTGAGCTTTTCCCCTACATCTGGTGGAATTTAAAACAAAACTTGTTATAAAAGGAAGGATTTTGTCCCTTTATGTCTTGAAAATGTTTTCAAGACGTATGTGGGGTCCTGCCTAGGGCTGAATAAGTTGTGAAAAATCAAGTTCATATGACAGTTTCTGCTTTTCACAGTAGCATGTAGTGAAATAAAAACACATACTGTAAATTCATAGTCAAAATATGCTTGCCATTGGCAATACATTCAAACAGCCACAGTATCCAAAGGCCTGTTCCACCTATAGTAATACATAAAGAAACTTAAAAAAAACCCAAACCAAAACATGAGAAACATATCTGTATTCACTGAAATGTACTAAAAATGTGTCCTATTTTCTTACACATGATGGACAAGCAAAAAACATTAACAGAATTATAGAAATAAGTATAATTCTCATGCACTTTCACTGTAAAAACAAGTACGAACTGTTGGTGTAAACATACACTAAACCTGTGTCACAGATTGTTGAAAAGTCTGGTCAAAGTAAAAAATATAATCATAATTGTTTACAGTGTCTAAAAACCTTTTACTGCCGCACAGTGGCAGTCCTCGTATCAAGAACTCTGTGAGATTGTGAGTGACAAAAATAAAAAAAGGAATAATAGACATTAATGAGGAAACAGTGGACGCACAATTTCTACAATCACATAATGCTGAAAACTGTAACAGCTGTCATAACAGTAAAGAACAGGGGTCTGGAAAACCACCAGAGAAGTTTTATTTAAAGGAATTTAATGGGTCAGTTCACCCAAATCATAAAAAAAACATTTTCCTGCTTACTCTTAAGTAGTATCCTGCCATCATGCAAAGAGTTTCATATTCTTTTGGTGCAGTATGACTGACAACTGGCTATCCCGGCACCTATCTCAACAACAATCCCTCTTTCCTAAGGTCCCGGGGCTACTCACCGCCAACACTGGAAACTGTTAGCAACAGTTGTTGGACATACTTTGGTAGATAACAAAAATCCTGTTCTCAAAACCTTGCAAATAAAAGTGAAACTACACTCTCGGCAAAACACAATATATGATTTCAGCCAACTGACCTTCTAAAAGTCAACGAAAAGCCTGAACTGAGTCTTCTTACCAATCCAGCTGGACTCTCAGCACCACACATATACTTCTTGTATGACCATCAGCGGTGGAAGAAGTACTCAGATCCTTTACTTAAGGAAAGTAGCAATACCACATAGTAGATATACGTTACAGGATACAAGTCCTGCATTTAAAATTTTACTTATGTAAAAGTACGCATTAGAAAAATGTACCAAAAGTAAAAGTACTCATGCTGGCCTGGATGGTAATTTGGTATAATTTATATATTAACTTACTGGATTCTTATTATTACTTTAATGTAGCTAGTAAATGTGGAGCTAATTTCAGTTACTTTATATAGTGCTGGGAAGCTTACAGTAATCTATAATGCATCTTTTATTAGTTGATAATATTTTGTATTGATAGTCTGAATCTGCAAAGAAACTATTGAATAAAAATATCAAATAACAATTTCCCTCTGAGATGTAGTGGAGTAGACGTACAAAGTTGCATAAGTACCTCAAAATTGCTCTTAAGTACAGTAATTGAGTAAATGTACTTTGTTACATTCTACCACTGATGGCCAGTATGTCCACATTTAACATTATTATAAATTACATGACATAAATGACAAGGAACAAGTAGAAAAGTGAAGCCAGTGAAAGGACATGTTTTAGAAAGCTTTCTGAAGAGTTTCACTTCAACTAAATGTAGTGGCATTACCTCACCTGGTAACATTTCAAAAGGTTGAAGTCTCTGACACGATCGCCTCAGATCTGATGGGACATCATCCTGCTGTTCAGTTTCAGAAAGAACGACTGCAGCTGGCACTTTTTCTTCTTTTTCTTCTTATTGTTCCGACCTTTCTTGTACACGCCGTGATATTTTCCCTCCTCGTCCTCCTCTTCCTCCACCCAGGGTACCCAGGCTCCGCCGTGCTGGCTGGGATTTGCCCGAGGGTCATCAGGTGGAAAGTAAACCGGCACGGCCGTTTGGTTATAGTAGGCGAGTCGGGCCATCAGCTGTTGCACCACATCTGGTCTCTGGTCCGCCAGGTCCCGCCGCTCACACGGGTCGGCCGTGATGTTGAACAACCAGACATTTTTGTGGTTGGTAGGTTTGTGGAGCGACGAGACGACTTCGAGGTTCCACCAGGGACCAGGGAGAGTGGGAAGTACCTTAGGATCAAAATAGGCAGTGATTTATGTTTCCTGATCAATTTGAAACCAAGAAGTAAAAATAATCGTACTAAAATGGGTCTAAATGCTTTGAAGTACCTGTGGGGGGACCCAGTCTCCATGGCCTGGGTCTCCTGTTAGCAGCTTCCAGTCTCCAACTCTGATGGCAGCCTGGACTGATGGGTCCCACACTGGCTCGGACGACTGGAGCCTTAACTTGGGCTTTGGATGGGATTTGGGCTGCGTTGTCCCTGCCTGGGACATGTTCTGGTACTGGGGTAATGTCTGCCTTGACTTGGACTTTAAATGTAATTTTAGCTGTGTCTTAGATTTTGTTTGAGGTGGTCTTGACCGTGACAGGTTCTGGGATATGGTCCGCCTAGATTTTGACTTTAAACGTGGTTGGATCTGAGGCTGAGACTTGGGGCGAGATGTTCCTGACGCTGATGGAGTACCACTGGAGTGGGACTTTAGATATGGTTTGTAATGTGACAGTCTCTGGTTCTGATGTAAGCCTTTGGTCTTGGGTTTGACTTTTGATTTTGGCGGGGGCTTAAGCTTTGGTTTGGGAAGGGGGTTGGATTTCAGTTTGGCTTTAGGCTTAACAGCATGATGGGAAAACGTCAGAGGTTTCTTGGTGGTCTTTAACTTGAACGCTGAGTTCTGCTTCGGTTGCTGCTTCAGGACCTTCTTCTTCTTTGGCTTCTTAAAGGCCGGACTTCGGTCTTTCGATTTTCTTACTGACAAATCAAGTTTGCGCAAGAGGAGGAGTTGCAATATGACAAAATAACTTTACATAAAATAATAATAAAATGTAAGAAAAGTAGAATACAGTTGCCTTTGCCTATCTACTGTTTATCAGCGTAAGCATAAACATTGGCATTTGACAACCTGTTTCCATTTGTGTGCAGTTTTGTAATTAATCTCACCTGTACTGTAACCTGAGTGAAGACTTGCAGTAACCTTACTGTGAAGTAGTGTTTAAGTACGACAACTTTTGATGTTTCGATTGTTTAATTTTTATTTTGGTGTTTTTACCTGAGGCGTCCCGGGCCCTGGTCCGAGCACGAGGTTTGTGCAGTGGGTCAATGTTGTGAAGGATCTCCTGACGAGGTGACTCCTTCCCTTCACTGATGGTGGGCCAAACATCAAAACCATCCAGACCCTGGCTCTGAGAGGCAAACAAATACACAGATATCATTTGAAGAGTAATGAGAGGTACCTTTTATGTGGGCCAGTAGGTACTGTGAAACCATGGTAACAGTTCATGTGTTTCCTGGATTAATGGTGCTAGAAGAAATAGTTGAACATTTACCACACCGGAATAAATAATAACATTTTCTTTGGTAATGGAGGCGATCGAGTCTCTGGATTAGTCAGAAACTGATACTTGATTGTAGCCAAGATAGCTTTATTCATCTGCTTTGGCAATGGAAACCTTCTTGCATACTAAGCCAACAAAGCTCTTTGGGAGCTGTACACACGCTGCTCTGTCCTGCCATTAACATGGATTGATGTCTGAATTAAAACACAAAGTGTCTATGTGGCCACTGTTAAGAAATAGTGCACTTATCATTAAAAGTCAAGAGCACATTTATCTACATGATAGTCGTAAATAAAGACAGTTTTACGGCAGTGCTGTAACCTGAAATTTAGTACAACCAACGAAACTCATGAATCAATATGAAATCAGCGGGAGACACTGAGCACAGAGCAAACTCTAGCAGAGTAACATTTCTGGCGAGAGAACAAGGAAAACATACAGAACCTAAATCCAGTGTACTCTGTACTCCCTTACAGTGAAGTGATCGCTCATGTCAGTGACGTGGGGGTCCGTGGTGAGAAACGCATCCCTACATCTGGTCTGTTTTATAGCACAATCAAATGGTCAGTAATGCACTTTTTTATGGTATTCAACCTTTACTATCCCGTATTCACTGTGAGACTAAAAAGATAGGCCCGGCTAAGAAAGCAACATCAATGACATGCAAGTTCCAGGCAAACAATATGCGACAAAATCTAAAGCCAACAACACATCCATAAGTTCTAAAAAGGCAAACATTCCCTAAATATGTGTCTCTAACAGTGTACTGAGTGCCACTGACCTGGCTGATGTTCCCCCCAGCCAGGCCCACCAGCGTCGGGAACCAGTCAGTGATGTGCAGAAGAGCTTTGGAGACCCGCCTCTTGTGCCTCAACAGGGGACTGTGAACGAACCCCACTCCACGGACTCCACCTTCCCAATACGTACCCTGGAAACACAGTCAGGAAATGAAGTTTTCAGAAGCATTTTCTCATCCCGGTTACATAGCAGAGATCTCCATAAGTACCACTAACATTCACAACATCATTTTAATCTATATGTTTATTTTATCTATATATCATATTTATATTTTTGCAGGTACTTGAGGATAATGTTATGAGTATTTATTTTGGGGGGAAACAAGATCCATGAATGTTACTTTAAACTGTCTCATACTTATGTATAGGTATGGAATTAAGTAAACTCCTTATTTGACATATGAAGGACTTCATAAATTATGTTAAACTGTAGAAAAACAAAACATGACTGAAGGTCTCTAAACATATCTAATACTTGCAGAATTAATAAAAAAAAATAGAGAAATAACTCTGCCATTCTTAGATATTTACCATGTGTAGGGCAAAGAGAAAAGGCAAAATTCACTGGGCAATCAAAAACATTCTGCCAAAACTACATACATGACTACATACATCCGAAGTTTGGGCTGGACGATATGGCCAAAAATGTTTTCACGCTGAAATGCATATCTTTCGATATCGATAATTATCACAATAAGTATCAAATCGTTATTTCTTTTGAGTTTAAAGGCTGATTTTTGCTCCCGAGTGAAGAAACCTGATGGTTAACTGTGGTTTAAACTCTTCTTTATGGTCAACACTTGATACCAAACAGTGGATCACTTCACAAATCTGAGGTACAACATTCAAAACAGTCATGATAAAATCTTTGTCAAATATGCATAAGTAAAAATAAGTCTTTTTTTCTTTTTTCTCAACAAAATAAACAAAATTAAGTCCTAATTTGTGTAATTTGTCAAACATTCGTTGAATATTAACTGAACATTTCTTATATTGTTATTGAAAAAACTTATATGACTGACTGTAAATGGTAAAATTGATGTACAAAAATGCAAGATGTCCTTTCTACCTTACGGCCTCGTAGCGGCCAGTTGCTCCCTCCTGTGAATGGTTGGGCACCGTTGTCGGTGGAGTAGATGATAACGCTGTTCCGGTAGTATCCGTACTTTCTCAGGGCGTAGGTGACATTTCGGACCGACTCATCCACTGTGGACACCATGGCGGCAAAATTTCTCCGGCCGATGTTAGCCATGTCACGGTAGGGGTGGATGTAGGACATGGGAGTCTTTAGAGGAGTGTGAACCGCCTGGAGGAAAACATTAACATGGTGCGTTAACATGTGTTCACTTTTTTAAAGAAATACAGGGTGCAAGTACAATACACAGAGATGCTCAGAATGACCAACCCTCCACTCCTACATTTCATTTCATGATGAAACTAGTAAAAAATTATTTTATTTTTTAGATATGCCAACAATGTTTAATGCTATTTTTAGAAATTATACCAATTCTGTTATTTTGGGATAACATTCGTTTTCAGATAACCCACTTTCCTCCACTCAGCGTTCCCTACTCCCTGCCAGCGAAATATTGTTTTGCTGTTGCCAGGGCATCGGCTAGATTAACTTAAACCCCTCAGCCCAAAACTTCACATTAAATGAACATGGCTGACCACAAAAATCAACAATGAACAAATGTCAGTCTTTTGAGTTTAAATGCTTTTAACCTCATACATTTTTTGTGTGGCCTGCTTTCAGTTAAATCGTCAGAGACCGTATGAGCCAAACAGTCTTTAAATATGTTTCTCATGCTCATACACAATTGCTTTCACGGGGGCCTTAATGTTATTCCAACATTTCTGAATCCCCACATCCAGACATAAACTAACACAGGATCGAAACACATGTCAGGTTGTGCTTTATTTCACCTATTATCTGCAACTATTTGTAAAAAGAATACCATGTTCTTTTTGATTTTGAGGGGCTTAAACCTAAACCAGAGAACTTTTCCATAGGTGCTTTTGACATTTTTCTGATATCAAACTTCAGCGTGATACCTGGAGGGAGAGCAGCAGGAAGAGGGGCCTGTCCGTGGGGTCGTGGCTCTCCAGGATCTTACGAGCTCTCTGTGTGAAGAGCGTGGTGGAATATTTCCCTTTCTGGCCCCACGCCACGTCCTCGTCGTCATGGAGATCGTACCCACACAACCCCGGGCCATCGCAGGACCCATAACTGGGGACAGATGAAGAAAGGCGAGTTATTGAAACAGATAATGGAAACAGAAGCAGACAACAAACATTCTAATCAGTCCTAATACACCTTTACCTGTAGTAATCCACACTTCCTGTTAGAGAACCAAAGAAACTGTCAAAGCCCTTTCTGGTGGGCAGGCATGCCTTCCTGGAGAAAAGAAGAAAGCAAAAGTCGGATCAGATTTCTGCGATACTGTTATACACAAGCAGCTTACACAAGTGTCAAAGGAGTTTTCTTCTAGCTCTGTCTACATTCATTGTTTCTGACAGAAACACGTGTGTATCCTCGAGGCCTAAAACATTTGCAAAGCCGATTTTTAAAAACATTTTAAATCTGCATTTATTGTTAGCCTGCTAGTCGTCTTCCTTCCTGCGTTTCTTTGTGTATGAACGATCAGCGGAACAGTGTGAAATCACTGGCAGGGATGTGTATCCTATTTTTATTTATTTTCATTTATTAATTTGAAACAGCTGAGCTCTGTGGGCGGGAGTGGATGAGTGAGTCTGTATGTGTGTATTTGCAGTGTATGTTATGTAACGTAATGTTTTTGTGGGTTTTTTTTTGTTATTTTTGTCTATAGGACTCTCTCGAAAATGAGATGCTACATCTCCAGGGGCTATCCTTTCAATAACGTCAAATCCAAACTAGTAATTAAAGCTTTCAGACAAATGTAGTGGAGCAGAATGTGCAACATTTCCCTCTGAGATGTAGTGGAGCAGAGGTATAAGTAAAGTATTTATGCACTTAAATTAAGTACAAAAACAACCTCAGTTTGTTTGGAATTTGAGATAATCTCACCTCATTAGCAGAGGGTTTGGGTTAATAACTCTACAGTGATTAAATAGTTTGTTAATAGTGACTGTAGAATAGAAACTCCTTGTCATTTTCATCGACCCTTTCTACCCGTGGAGGATCCATCTCACCTGTAGAAGCCCAGGTGCCACTTGCCGACCATGTGCGTGGTGTAACCGGCCTCGCGGAGCCTCTCAGGCAAAGTGTCCATGTGTGATGGCAGACAGCTCGGCTGGCTTGGTCTGATTATGGAGTGCTGTAGTCCTGTGTGGATCTGATATCTGAAGTAAAAAACAACTTGTCCTTGGCTTTGTATCAAACGAGCCGCTCACACAGGAGCTACTATTAGACCTCAGTAATACCAGGGACTCATTCAACCTCACTGCAGTTAGGCTGCCTGATCAATACTCACGTGTTCAGAGCTTCAAACTCAATAACTGCTTTACTCTCTGGTCAGCTTTGACATCTTTTGTGTCAGACAGATCTGAAGCTTTTGAGATTCATTTCTTTCTTTAATCTTATTTTCTCTATCTTCATTTTAAATTCTCCTTTAGCCTGTCGCTCGTGCTTCTGAGGATCAATAAAGTCTTATCTTGAACTAATAATAGTGACATGCTGTAAAAAAGATTTTAACAATTATTTATAAAAATCTGACAAAGAGAGAATTATTTAATGATGAAACAATTTGGCAGTTCATCGATGAGTTACTCGATAGACAGTTTTGATAATCAGATCATACTGATGTTTCTGTAACGGTTAAAGTTGCAGTGTATTTTGTACAGAAGACAGATGGACAAAAGAAAAGTAAAGAGGCGTCTGTACCTGCCGGTGATGAGCTGGCTGCGTGACGGCGTGCAGATGGGCTGAACATAGTAGTTCTCCAGCTTCACGCCCTCCGCCGCCAGTTTGTCCAGAGTGGGAGTCTTGATGGTGGGGTTGTGGTAGCCGATGTCGTTGAAGCCCTGTTTTAGAGCCACGGAGGCACGAAAGAGTTCATTTTTCAGATTTCCAAAACAGATTTTCGATCCGGAGGTCTAAGAATAGAGGGTGTTGTGGGCTGTACAGGTTGTGAAGGCAAATTTCTGAGCTCTTTTTTTTGTCAGGACTTTTGCAGGATATTTTCAGTGATAATCTAGCTGGTCTGACATACAGGGATCACGTCATACACTAAAATGTTCCTCTCTGTGGGAGTCTGATTTTAAAGAGGTGCAATGGTTTAAAACAAGTTGAGTAGAATAAAGTTTAAGCAATAAACCTGATAAAAAACTACCACAGTTCCAGCCAGCAGCCAGCAGTGACTAATGTTACAGCTGGAGGATAATGCAACTTACTTACTTTTAAACCATAGCCGATCTGTGCTACCTTGTGACGGGAGTTGGGGGTGTGTTCACAACGCTGCTTAACCGAGCAACCACAACATCGTGTTATAATAATTTTCCATGACAACACGAGATTTTCTAGGACATTTTACTTTTTCTGTTATTTTCCATGTGTTTTCCATGACTGGAAAATTGGTTAACTGTTTTCCAGGTTTTCACAGGACGTGTAGGAACCCTGTTTATGGTTTTAATTTCTTATTTCCAGTGAAAATACTGATGTTGGTGTGGAAGATTTCTTTTCTGTTTTACAACTGATCAACTACATTTTTCAGTTACTTTTAATTTGGCCTACTTTTCCAATTTTATGCCACAATTAAACTTTTAAATACTACCACCCCTGATGTGAATAATACAGCTGAATTTGTAGTGTACAACATGTAGAAAATCACCTATTCTCTATGTAAATGTCATCATATATTTGAAGTTATTAACAATATACTGTATTTTCAATACTTATCAGGTGTTTTAGTCAGATTAGCATCTTGTTATATATAAAAGGAGCGTGATCATCCCAGCATCTTGCTATAAGTAGAGGCATTCTCACCGCCTCTTTCATAAACACACCTGGTCGTCTGTGAGGATGAACAAGATGTGCGGCTGGTTCTTCTTCTTCGCTTCTGTCTCATCTTTCTGAGTGTTTCTGTCGTTCTGTATCTGGTTTGGTTTGGACCGATGAGCGGCCAGGCAGTCCAGGCCGAAGAAAATGCTCAGTACAGTCAGAGCCACAGCAGCAGCCTGCATCTTCACAGGAGCCCTGCAAGGAGCAACAACAACAACAATACAGCAAGAACCTCCATGAACAAAACACCAGGGAAGTAGAGCTTAGAAATGTTTGGCACAAATTCACACAGACACGCCATCGCTGGCGGACTAACTGTAGATCATAAAACCGCATTTGAGATGGGCCTGCCAACTTGGCTGTAACTCGGATCTGAAACACATCCATCTGGTGGAGAGAGAGCTGAAACTCCGAGGAGGTCTTTTTAACCATTTACAATCTGCACTTTATTTGCATTTTATGGTGCCTCTTACATTAACATGGATAAAATCATCTTTTACTATATGCGTAAATTAACAAGACTGGGGTGTCTGTTTTTGTCTAATCCAGCAAATTAAGTAACAGATCAAAGTACTTGATCACCTTAATGGAAAAATCATGTAGAATCCAATACTGGCATAAAGGAGTCCTGCTCATTAAGGGAGAGTTACCACGATCGATGGTAGACCTTAAACGGATGAGTTATTGTCACTCTTGATTGATCTGTCAATTATTTTTTCCTATTAATTTGTCAATATATGTGAAAGAGTTGGGGAAATTACACTTCACAGGTTCTGAGAGCCCAAAGGTAACACCCTAAAATTGCTCGTTTTGCCCCAGCAACATATTCAATTTACTACGACATGAAACAGACAAAGTACAAATAAATATCAAATGTGTGGAATGAGAGAATTGTGAAAGTGATTTAAAAAAAAAAAAACAACTATCAAAATGTTCTGATCGATCAATGTTTTAAGTTGTCACTTATACTTTGTCATAAACCTTACAAATACAACACCACAACATAATCTGGCCACAGACTTCAAACCTCTCTGTCTCACAAAGTGTCAACCGAAACAGAAAACTAAGAAGGTAGAACTGCTTTGCACCATACATATATTTTTATAGTCTTTAACCATTTATTTTCTCGGAAATGATGCAGTCTGACCTGCAGCTTAGTGCTCTGTGAAAGGAATGGAAACAGGATATATCTGTGTAATCTATCACGTTTACAAACTTACACAACCCAGGATCAGCTAATAATGTTGTGTTTATCTGTAAGACGTGACTAAAAGCAGCTGAATGGTCACAAAGCTGGTGACCATTACTACTGATGTCTGCACCGGTTTCCCATTAGATGAGATACTGGTGTTCATGGCAGCAGCAGAGGACACACACACACACACACACACACACACACACACACAAATGCAGAGGGAAATGTGTGTGTTGGACATGAGCTCCCTTCCTGTGACACCCTTGAGTGTGTTGGTTCAGACTATGCAAGCAGGGACTGGTCTTGCATAAAATCTGTTTTGATGAAGGCTGCAGCCCGTGTCAAGTTAAAATGTGACAGAACCTTATTATAAGTATACTATACAGTATTTGTCCATATCAGTTTTCATTTTGACTTTAAATTGCATCACAGCTTCATCCAGGTGCAAATGACCCAAACAGATTCGCGCTATGTATAAAATCAGCCCATTTCTTATTGAATGCATAGGTATTCCTCACAACATGAGTGTTATTTCAAAGCCAGGCCTAAATCAATACCTCGATATAGGATCAATGGAAGTGAACGGCTCACCCCCGGCTCCTCCTCTCCTCTTCCTCTTTGCTCCCCTTCAGTTCATTCTTGACACTTCAGGTCTTTCTCAGGATCGCAGAAAGTTTGGTTTGACTAAAGTTTGCGGGAGACGCCGCATGTCCTCAAGTTTCCTCCACAAAACCCTCCTTCCTTCAGCCTGAGAGTCCACACTCCCAGTGAAATACGACCAACATCAAGCCGCTCACAGTACCACGCTGTCACTACCGGTCTGACCTGTCAAAATAAAACACAAAACGTTGGCAGCTTTTTAAGGCAAGGACTGGTGGATTGAAAGTGCAGTTTGAATAATGAATATTATAAAATAATGTTTATTTTCCGTCGTTGAACTATTTTCCAATAAAACAAAACAAAACAAGCAAAAGGGAAAAAAACACATTCACAGTTGTAAGCTAATCTCAGTTATGCAGGGTCCTAAATCAACTGTTAAAATGTTTTACATTTTTGGTTTGGTGGTCAGTATAACATCATTTTGAGGTAGAAATTACCTTTCAGTCAAAAAGTAGAAGCTGCAATCACTTTCTGGCAAGTGAAATAATGCATGTTATGTTATGGTGTTTTGGCCATTTAAAGGTATTTCAACAGGTAAAAAGTACTGGATTGGTTTGTACACAGCAAGTGGAGATCATGTCTTTATTTTATAAATAACTCAGCAGTAAGTCATGTTAATTAGTATATTATTCTGTCGCCATCATAGACTGTACATAAAAGGGCCACAGGATAATGTCAAGTTAGCTAACTCACTTAACCTTATCTAGCTAATTCTGCGCAGGCTAACTCCACTTCCTGCTGTTCAAATTTTTATTTTTTTTTCTCATGAATGGTGATTACATTATAGAATTTGCAGTTAAGGCTCAAAAATGACCATTACATGAGATACATGGCTAGCTAGTAAATTAGCAGGTAACCTTGTTGGCTGTGAGGCTAACATTCAAAGACAACTTAAGACCTGCTAACGATAGTGTTTACTAGACAAAAGTTTTTTCTTTGTATTTGTATCATTCTATATCACATTGCTGAAAGTAAACGGTAGAGGCATATTCGTAAACTTAACAGCCCCCCTTACAAAGTGATAATGTGGAATAAAATGCTAAATTCTATGTGTTCTTGATTGTGACAGTTTTATTTTGAAGGCTAAATAGCTTAACATCCGCTGTTCTTGATTTTATTTGTGAAACTTGACACGCGGTGGGAAACGGTAATAAAGCCCTTAGCCTTTACCATTAACGGCAATCTGTTACTTTAATATGTTTATTGAATCTTATGCTTATTGTCACCGTATCGGACTTCCCTGCTTGTGGATGTGCGACCACGGACAGAACATCAGCCCGTATGGCTGCAGCCTGAACAGGCAGAGGAGCTGAGGAGCCAGCTGGCATTTCGGAGTAGACCAGGAATGTCTCTCTCTTTACGCAACGTACTGTACAGATGCAACACTGCAAGGCAACAAGAGACAAACTAGGGTGAGAGCTGAGACCGGAAATAGGTCAGGAAATAAAGTTCTATTTATGCCAAAAACACACATAATCAGCAAACTCTGAAAATTCACAGCATGTGCATTAGAAATGTTTGAATACAACATATTGCCTGCATCATTATGAGGAGTTAATGAGACAAAGATAATGTATAATATACAATAGTTAATGGAGCTTTATATATGCATAAGGGAAAGACAGCGTTTAAAAAATGTGAAGACAATTAAACGTGTGAAGCATATAATTGGCATTAATCAGTCTGCCAAAGGCACAAAGTATTAACTGCACACACAGATTAGGTAGCGGGTGCTCAGAACAACCAACATGTTCTCAAGTATGCAGCTACATTCACCCTGAAGTAGAGCTATCAGTAGGGAATTAGACCTCAGTACTATTTGCTAGTCTTTGACTATTTCATTTAGGAACAATCCCTGCACAGCTATTTGTGTCTAAAAAATATTTAACATTTGACATCTTAAATCAAATTTGAATAAACAAGTGTTTTAAAGAAAAATGTGTTTAAATTCCTCAAAGTAAGGAAATGCATTGTTTTGGTATCAGTTTTTAGGAATTGCATTGTTTTTGGAGGACCTCTTCCAACACCGTTTAAGGTGAGACAGTGCTTCTACAGCACTGTTCTCCTGACCTGCAAACCCTTCTACTCCCCCCCGTGAGTTAGTTTCATTCATTCTGGTCAGTGTTTACATTCCACCGCAGGCCAGTGTGCAGGAGGTGCAGCGCATGCTCGCTGACCAGAGTCCTTAGTTATTGTCCTAGGTGACTTTCCTTTTCCCTTTCACTTCATATTGTGAAGTTTTGCACATTCCTTGGTCAATATTTTGCACAAAGAGATGCACAAACTCTACATCTCTTTCATTCTTAAGCATAATTTATTGTATGTAATTTCTATAAAAACATTTCATACTCGTAGTACTTTTTTTTGTAGTACTTTTTTACTTATTATGTTTGTTGTTATGTACAGATAAGGATTAGGACCACAGAGATTAAAGTCAGAATTCTGACTTTTTTCTCAGAATTCTGACTTTAAACTTGGAACTCCAAAAAAAAGTTCACATGTGGCCTTAATCCTCTTCCGTAGTTATGCACCAAAACACCAAAGCAAATTCCTTGTATGTGAAAACCCACTTGGCAATAAACCTGATTCTGAGAAGGTCTTACTAATTCTTCTGACATGTGTTATTTATTCAAACAGTTTGTCTCTATTTGAAACATTCAAACAGTCTGGTCTGCATTGGGACCCCCTGCCCATCTCGAAGAGCCTCCCTGGCCTGCAAGTTTCCAACAAAAAGGCTGATAGAGATACATTAAGGCCTGATTCACTGGCAGTGAGCAATACATGAAGTACTGTTCCCAGATTTTTTGAAGCTCCTGGAGAAAGGAGAACAATAGTTAACCCATACTTGACACACACTGTTTTTGCACTTTAATAACTTTAATTTATCTATTCACCTATTCACACTGTATCTTCTTCTTCTACTTCTTCTTTTACTACTTCTACTACTGCTACAGCCTATTCTACTACTACTACTATTACTACTGCATCCTATGCTACTATTAGAATTACTACAGCCTTTCCTACTGCTATTACTACAGCAAATACTACAACTTCTACTGCTTCTACTACAGACTACTACAGCTGCTACTACAACAGAAAATACTGCTACAGTTGCTACTACTACAACAGACATTACTATTACTGCTACTACTACAACTTTTACTGCCGTATAGAGACTATACTACTACAGCTGCTACTACAACAGAAAATACTGCTACAGTTGCTACTACTACAACAGACATTACTATTACTGCTACTACTACAACTTTTACTGCCGCTAAGAGACTATACTACTACAGCTGCTACTACAACAGAAAATACTACTACAGCTGCTACTACTACTACAACAGACATTACTATTACTGCTACTACTTCTACTACCTCTACTACAGACTACTACATCTGCTACAACAACAGAATATACTACTACATTTGCTACTACTACAACTTCTACTGCTTCTACTACAGACTACTACATCTGCTACAACAACAGAATATACTACTACAGTTGCTACTACTACAACTTCTACTGCTTCTACTACAGACTACTACATCTGCTACAACAACAGAATATACTACTACAGTTGCTACTACTACAACTGACTTAACTACTACTACAACTACTGCTGCTACTAGGCTACTACTAAATGTACTACAACTGCTGCTACTACTTCAGACTACACTACTATACTACTACTACTACTACTACTACTACTACTATACTACTATACTACTAGTTTAAACAAACCACTTTAAATTAGGCACTTTATATCTTATGGATGGATTTTATTGAATAGCGTTTTATTACTGAGTTTTCTTTGGCAATGGGCTTGTCTGTTTTATGTTATGTGTTTTATGTTTTTTATGTGGTGACATTGCACTTTGAGCTTCTTGCATATTCTTTTCCAATGTGGTTTTATACTGCAAATGGCTAATAAAGTGAATCTGAATCTGAATCTGATACTACTGCCACTACTACAGACTATCACTCCTGCCGCTAGTAATGCTACCACTACAGCCTTTACTACTACTACAAAGTACTCTCAGTCTCACCATTAGCATATCTCCCTATGTGTATATATCTATATACATAGACTATATATATACATATTATATACGAACATTATATATATATATATGTAAATGTGTTATTTGTCATTCATGGTCGTTGTCTGTTGCATTTAAAAAACTCTTTTTCCCATGGTGCACTTCGAGGGGGGCGTCGTCTGCGCTCACGGCTTCACGCTGAATAGCGAGCATGAGCTGAACTGTAAATAACTCCTCAATAATATTCCAGTTTTGCTCCAGTTTTCCAGCCGTGTCAGTCGGACAGCATGGCCTCGGAGGAGGACGACGCTCTGCTGCTTTTAATCTACCAGCACCTGAAGGTGAACGGTTACGAGAAAGCTGCCAAGGTGCTGCAAAAACACGTTTCTCAGGTAAGAAGTTTGGTGTGACTCTGCATCATGCACAGCCTGCTTCAGTGTACAACCGACCTGACTGGGTTGTACCTCGCTGTTTTTCGTTAATTCCAGTCATAGTGATGATTCTATTGCTATTTCTTGAGCGGACATGCGCGTCAGCTTTGTTATATAAGAGAATGAATTAAATATAAATGTGATTTCAGTGTGTTTTCTGCTCCAGTGTGGCAGTCAGTAAGCTGCAGGTCTGCTCTGAGTGTGTGTTAAAGCACATGGCTCCTTGTTCAGGCCTCCTGGAGGAAAAGAACATTATGTTACAGGAGCTGCATGGCCGTAGAAACAGCCCTGCTGCAGGCCTGCTGCTGCACTCTGACACCCCATTCAAAACCTCCATACAGTTTTGTAGTGTTTAGTGTTAAAAGTTGTTCATTTTTCTTTAAATGTCTTGGGGCTGCAATGATTCAGCGATTAGTCAATTGACAGAAAATTAATCTGCACCTATTTTGATAATCAATTAATAGTTTAGGTCACTTTTCAAGCAGCAATGCAAAGTGGTTCCAGGTTTTCAAAGGTGAGATTGTAACTTAGATTATTGTATTCATGGGCTGTTGGTTTGACAAAACAAGATGCCACTTGGGCTTTAGGAAATTGTGATTGCAATTGTTGACTGTTTTCTGATATGTTAGAGACCAAATGATTAATTGATTATTAAAAAACATAATCGCCACAATAACTTGTGATAACAACAATTGTCAGTTGCAGCCGTAAAATTTCCAGTATACATGAGACATGATGCAACCAAACACCCTTAGAGACTGTCAAAAAGGCCACACACTGCTCAATTGAGGCCGTTCTTATTTTTTTTATTTTTGTGTATTCTATAAACTGTGACAAATTTAATTCAAAACTTAATTTATTATAAGAACTGCAGGGACCTCATTGTGTTGTTGCTGCTATAAATAGTTGTATTTTTTAAATAATTCACCCAACATAATGTCACACATTGTGTTTTTTCATGGACTAAGATTACAATTTGCTCATTCTTATGTCTGCTATGGTGAGCTCTGCCCAGTCACAAGTTTCAGGTTTCAGGCTCATGTGCAAAAAATATAACCGTCAAAAGTTGCTGACGGAGTTTTTTTCAGAAGACCGCAACAGAGAAAATAGTCTCAACAACATTCTGAAAATTAAAACATCCCCTCGTTCTCAGAGGCTCCCACCGAGTCCCTGTTCTTTTAATATTTTGAGCATCTTTTATCATCCAAACTTTCATCCCATGTCACATCCCATGGTAATTATGTAGTTATGCTGCTGCATGGATTCATTTCCGGGAGCGTGTGGCATCAAAGTGGAAGCATTCCTGAACGGCAGGGAATTTGCTGTTTGACTTTGAACTTTTTCCCCTGTCTAGCTAAGTGATCATAGTTGGGTTACAGGAATAATATCTGGCCACTTGATTATGTAACGTTCAGGGCATCAGTCAGAAACTTGGAAAATATGGCTTCAAGATGGTGATTGCAGAGAAAGTGTGTAAATGTGTTTGTTTGTTTGTGTTTGAAGGTGGAGACACCAGAGGAGGGATCCAACCTACATGATATCTACACAGGCTGGAGGAAGTAAGTCAGAAATGTCACATGGTGCAGGAAGTCTCTACCTTTCTTTTTAATAAAACATTTTAGATGTAAAAAAAAACAAAGAGGTTTAAATATTAGCATTCTCAAAAGTCAAAAAACTAGCACCCTTCTCTCTAACATAGGGTGACCAGATGAGAATGGATGAAATTCGGAAGGGGGGGGGCTTGTATAAAAAGACATTAAAACACGTGAAAATCAAAACACGTTAGAATTAGGCTAATTATTTTTGTTCACGAAGTCACCTGTCTGTCATTAGGAAAAACACCAACAACTGTGGATATGTAGCTAGCAGTGGGTACATCATGATTTTTTTACTTATTACTTTACTTTTATTTTATTAATTTCATCAGTGCAGTGTCGCATCTGTCTGTGGCACCGCCGTGGCTGCCTGAAGCTGCACTTTCCCTATCCTCGCGACTGTTAACCACAAGAAAACAAAAAGGGGAAAAGAGCACGAGTGTTACTTTGTGGCTATAACAACGCTGTTGACACGAGGTAGGCCTACAACCCCTACTGGAGCAAGAGAACTACACAACGATCAGTAGGCTATTTAATGTTTAATTAGACTATAAGCTTTGCGGTGCTACAGAGACGCCCTGACCTAAAAATTATATTCTCCATATGTGAGGGAACACTCTAGTTTGGTACAGACCGCGACTCATATGTTAATATCTACTATACAGTTGGGTGTAACATTGAGCAAGCATAGGTTTCTCTGAACTGTCTGTATGAACAGGATGTGACTAGTAATCTGTGTGTGTGTGTGTGTGTATGACTGCCTGCCTGGCCTTCTGCCCAGTGCACTGCATTCTGGGATTGGCTTCAAATCCCCGCCACCCTGAAAAGGATTAAATGGGCTGCAGATGAATGATGGGAATGAATGACCTCAGCTCACGTCTCTGATTCCTCACTGTGAATCTCACACCAAAATTATACAAATCGAAGCCATTCATTGGCCGTCGTATTGGCCGGCCCAAATGTAAGAAACACCCTCCTTTTCCAAAAACTAATTTGGATGAGAAACACTTCATTAGACTAGTACTAGTTTCTCTGAGATGCCATCAGTCCCAAGGATGAGACGGCGCTCATCACTGTGGTCAAAAGTCAACTGTAGCTTGTCCAAGTATGTTCTCAAGTCGAACTAATTCTTCCTTCTGCTCATCAGTCACATACACACACATTCCCCTGCCAGAATGATTTTCACCTGCTTCAGACTCCTTGAGTTCCTCGTCACGACGTTCACAGACATCTGTAAGTCCTGGCTGCTTGACAGATGATTTGGTCCCTGGTCAGTTTCTGCAGTAACGACGACTTTTGATTTTTATTTAAGTTTTTTTCCAACTGTGAGCAGCTCCTCCATCTATCTGTCAACAGCACACTCAAAATACGGCCGTGTTCAGTCTAGAGTACACTTATTAGATATTAAAAGCCTGCATAGACTTAGTACGTAGGAGAGATTTCGGACACGCTGATACCATACATGGACCTGAAGAAACGTGCTAGAGCTGCAACGATGAGTTGGTTAATCGCTTAGTTGTCAACTGTTATAGTCATCAGCAGCTGTTTTGATAATCAATAAATCACTTTGAGTCCTTTTTTTTAAAGAAAAAAACATCCAAATCCACTGATTCCGGCTTCTCAGATGAATATTTTCTAGTTTCTTTACTCCTCTATGAAAACAAAGACATTTGAGGACATCATCTTGGGCTTTGGGAAATACTTGATTGACATTTTTCACAATTGATTGAAAAAATAATCAACAGATTAGTTGCAGCCTAGTGCTAACCTAGCAACAATAAGGCAACCATAATACAACACTCCCACTGTAGTGCAACATAGGAACCGGTTCTAGCTCCTGGCTAGGAGAACATCTGCTGCTGCGAATATATAAATGTCTGTTCCTTGAGTAGAGTATTATTTTCATTGTCAATGAATCCATCAGTTATATTCTTTATTAATCAAATTCTGGATGTTTGACAACCTCTATGATCTCTTTCCAGTCTGTCAAAATCAGCCAGAAATAAAATTGTGTGCATGTGTGTGTGTTGCAGGCTGTGCTCTCTAGCTCAGCATGCCGAGCAGGAGACAGAAGACTCTACTACTTTGAAGAAGAATAGCATCAAAGCAGAACCTGCCACCAGCGAAGAAGAAGAGGTCATAGAGCCCAAACTCTCCGACACCACAGTAGAAAACAACGTGGATGCCAAACCTCCACTTGGTTAATGTTTTTGTTGTTTGTTTGTGTGTTTTTCAGGTGTATTTTGTTTTTCCTTTACAGGATGGATGTAGTATCTGTTCATTCACCTGTCTGACTGACGGCTGATTATTCTACGCTATATCTAGTAGTCCTAGTCAGTTGTTTGTTTGGAGTTTATAGTTTGTAGTTGGATAATTTTACTTATTTGAACATGTTTGTGTATTTGAATATGTTTTCATTTTTGTGTTGTTGTTTTTTTAAACATTTTTTTTTTTAACCACAGACACCCAGTCTTACAGGAATTTTGTGCCCCTGTTTCAGAGTCCATGACAGGCGCTGAGACCGCCACTGAGCAGCTGCTGCTGCATCCTGGAGCTGAAACCAAAACAACAGACGCAGACAGTGAGAGCGCTGATGTGTCTGACAGTGAAGAAGAAGAAGATAAAAAAGAGGAGGAAGAAACAAAAACAGAGCAAGAGGTGAGCAGAGAACAACACAGTGAACACATGACAGGGTACAGACAGATATGCTTATACATGGATGCAGTACTCACATGGCAGTGGCTGCACAGAAATGGGAGAAGCAGATGGAAGGTGACCAGTTTGAATCCCTGAACCGTCCTGAAATTGAGAGCGGGGAAAGGAAAGTGAGTGAGTGACGCTGTCCCCTCCCTCAACCACTAAACCCTCTGCTTCCTTTTGTTTTCAGGCTGTTTATTCAAGTTCGAACCAGAGTTTGATAGTACGCCCCTCCCCCTAATCTAGTATGCCTTCACACTTGTTTTTTTATTGTTGTTACGGTCCATATGCTGCTTGCACATGTGTTCTTTTAGTCAACAAAGTGCAGCTGTTGACCGCCGTTGCCAGGAGATGAGATTTGCACCCTTATTGACGTTTGCAGGAACAATGAACGTGTGGCTGTGTCCATGTCTGCAGAACACGCGTCAGTGAAGATCCTTGAACACGTTTGGTGTTTCATCCACGAGGCTTCTTCAGAACTGAGCCACACATTTGGTGTCCGCTTCATCCGACTCTCTTGTCATGTAGGAGAACAGAAGTACACATGCAATCCAAAGAAGATTGCAAAGAAAAATAGCTAACATAATATACAATCTGTAAAAAAAATATCCAGGATCTCAAAGTTTAAACTACAGAAGAGAAGGCGGCTGCAGAATGAAACATGACCACACCATCCAAGACTACAATATAGCAGATCTGATTAATGATAACTGATGAGGGAGGAACCAAAAAGAAGTGGCAAATTAGTATTGAGTATGGCTGCAGCAGCAGGAAACTACCACCCTCTCACACACACACACACACACACACACACACACACACATAGCTGTTGTCCAGTCACTGTAATAATGTGCTGATAGATGGACAGTAGCTCCAGTGTTGTTATTATATGCCTCTGAAATACACACAGACACATTTCTCTTCTGTATCTGTTAGTTTGTATTCGTTTGCTCGTTTGTTATTTCTGTGTGTGTGTGTGTGTGTGTGTGTGTCCAAGTCTTGTCTCTGCTCTTTTCTGTTGGCCCAGTGATGCAGCAGATAATGCTGTTTGGACTGAAACTCTGAGTGTGTGTGTGTGTGTGTGTGTGTGTGTGTGTGTGTGTGTCTGACAGAATGATAATCTCCTGAGACAAATTGTGTGTGTGTGTGTGTGTGTGTGTGTGTGTGTGTGTTTCTCTCAGTGTGTTAATGGCTCTTTTGTGGTTCTGTCTACAAAACCTGATTACTTTGCTTTGTGTCTGTCAGCAGAAGAGTTTGTACAGATTTTTCTCTCTCCGCTAAGGCGAATACAACACCTGCACTGATCTTTTAACATAACAAAGGTGTTTCTACTGAACAGAATTAAAAGCAGAGAGTTTTTGGTTCTTTTGTTCTCCTACCCCCAGCTGGTCAAATTAAATCTGGCCCACATGCAGAGGACAAGATTAATGCAATGCATTCTGCAAATGTATACTTTTTAATGGATACTTTTTGATTAGTAGTTTCACACTGTTCAGCTGGGAATGAATTGGTCCTACTAAATGTTTTGTGAGTTTCCAAACCCTCGGATATCTGCTGTGCCAAAACTATTAAAAATGCATGAATGAGCCACACTGTTGCACTGGGTGACATGTTCCTTCATACCACATACTGTAGTTCATTTAAACTGAATCACACATACACCGTCCTGCTGCAATCAGTAAGTCATTGAAAATAGGCCCCAACAATGTTAGTTAGAGTAACGTTTGATAAAAACTAAAATACCCAGCTGTTGTCAGCCCTTTTTTAAAATGACTGTATTCATTCATGAACACTTTTTAGAGATGTACATCTTCAGTGGGAAACCCCAGACAGGGCAGGGCAGTCAGAAAGTACTGGAAGAATGACTTAAGCCTAGTTCACATTACACGATTTGAAACACGATTTGCTGCTCGGCGACCGTCAGGCTGTGATCGGGGGTAAATCAGTGATTGATCGGCGGCTGCTAGTTGTTATGTGTGAACTACACAAAGACACATCAAAACGGCTCCCCGACACATTTCTGTCACATCGCAGATGTCTTCCAGATATCTGGCATGCCAAATATCTGGAAGAGTTGGCCGAATCGACATCCACATCCAGCCAATGAGAGCAGGCAGCTGCAGAGCAGGCAGCTACTTTTTCACCACAAAACACTTTTTACTCCCCTCCAGCTCTCTGTAACTCAGACAATCCCTGCTACCTGCATGTACTAATCCATTCTTTCACCCAGATTATTTGTGTTTATAATTGCTAGCTTTATAATAACAAACAGCTGTTTCGTGTGTAGGTTCGCCTCATTTCCCGTCTCACACGTGTGTTTTCTTGACAAAACGTGGTTTGGAGACCAGCGTCGGGTTACAGAGTCAGACCGATCAGTCACGTAGTGTGAACGCCACAACGACTTCAAGACTCCCGTCACAAGACGGCAAGTTGTGCAGTGTGACCAGCACGGCCATCAGCCGACGCTGAAAGTCGTGTAGTCTGCACGAGCCTTAATGCATTGTTGGTTTTGGTCTTTTCATGGGATTTGACAATAAGAACAACAGATTATTGTCAGCATTACTCTTTTAAAATCCCATTGCAGGGATCCATAAAAAAGATGCTCAAATATCTTGAATTTATGACACAAGCAGACACCCTGGATTCTCTAACCGATGGGAAAGGACAAAATGTAGTGCTCTATTGTACATATTTTGCAGGCAGCTACCATCGAAGTGTCTGCTGAGGCATCTAACAAGGCAGAAAGTTCCAGCCCCAGCTCCTCAGACTCTGAGGAAGAGGTTGAACCCAACTCCAGCCAGGCCGACCCTGGACAAGCTGCCTGTGATCAGGCCAAGGATCAGGTCACTGACCCTGATCCAGCTGCGGTCTCCAGTTTGGACAGCGAGAGCAGTAAGGAGCAGAAAGAAGACGACGATGAGCCCAAACAGGTTAGTGACCCGAGGCTGAATCCAAAGTACGTGGTTTTGTGAGACCTTTCCTCCAACAAGCGTAAAAAACTTGGAAGTGCAGCCAAGATTTTCATCTCCTTATCAGTTTTGGCAGTGTTTAATTTTCACTTAAGTCTATCTACCTGTCCAAAGAATGGAACCCTTTGATCAGATTATTCTCTGCTCTCAACGCCTGCATTTTCTTTCTCCTACCCTCTTACAGGAGTGAATATCACTCCAACTTCTCTTTGAAGATGTGACAGTTAAATGTGAAATTGTTTTCTAGCAAACACATATTTATCATTCGTAACATCTGAGCCGCCAACAAGCTTGTCTTTAACGTCCCACTCCACCAAACTGCTCTGAAGGCTAAAGAAATGAGCAGAAATGTCAATGACTTTCAACCACAACTCCTAAAAAGACGACTGACAGGAGTGCTCGTTGATTCCTGGCACAGCCGAGCCTCTGTTCCCTCAGCTCAGCCTCTGCACATCTGAAACTTATTTTGCAGAGGACTGTGACTGGCTGAAGTGCATTGTTTGTGCAGTTTACTGTAGGGAACACTGCAAGCAGTTCTTTTCTGCTGAGTAATGAAGTTTTCAAAGAATGTTCTGCCGTGTGAGGGTTTGGGATTAAATGTCACTATACCTGTCCAACCTTTGAAAATGGCAACTAAATTTAAAGCCCTGCACATTTACATTGTTCAAACAGCAATTCATGATGTTACTGACCCTACAGCAGGTCAGTTTAAAGTGCCGCGTATCTTAAAGTCCAATTCTGGTTTATTACAACGTGCGTCTTATTTTCATTGGCCATCCTTTGTATCAGTGCTGATAACACTGTACACACCATGTTAATCACTCCAGTCTGGGAAAGAGAAGTCAGACAGGGCAACACAGCAGACAGGCTGTAAACAAAACCCCAGGTTAGACAAACTTATTTGGGGGGAGAAAACAAAGGTGTACAGTGAACAACACAGCTCACAGACTGACTCTGTGGTTCCATACTTGCTGTAGCTTTGCGCTTGTTTAAACCTGTCTCACCGCCTGACTGATCGTGTTTGCTGCTCCGTCTGACTTCTTGATGTAATTATGATGACATTGTATTCAGCGAAGTCTTGGAAACATGGATTGAAAATGATAGAAATAAAGTGCAGAACTATGAAAGGCCCTAAATCTAAGACACTGAAATTATCATTTAACCTCCACAGTAAAGATTAAAGAGAAGTTTTTGTTTCAGTATCATGCCGTCGTCTCTCTGCTTTGTTTTCCTTCCTCAGGAGACAGAAGCAGCCACGGGCGCCTCTGAGGTCACAGATGAAACCTCTGCATTTGAACAGACGGCTGTCAGTCAAACGGAGGCCACGCCTTCCTCCACACAGGAGGCCTCTGAAGCAGATTCCTCAGAAGATGAGGAAGGCGGCGTTGCAGAGGTGCAATATTGGTTAATTTAAGTTCATGTACTGGTGGCACATAAAGTGGGGAAACCTGCAACTCACTGTAGCTTTTTTGTTTTTGACTGGAAAGGATGTGATCTGTGTCGTGGACACGGGACGTAAGAAAGAAAGAAAATCATCTGAGAGTCTTCATGTCTGGTCTTGGAGAATGTTGTTGACCTGTGTTGATTCCTCTTGCAGAAGCCCAGCCAGGCCGACCCCCCCACATCCGACCTGACAGCTCAGGACACCAATGACCAGCCGGCAGAGAGTGAAGCCCCGCCCCCTGCAGGTATGAACAACCAATAGACATTTGAATACCAGGCTGTTCTTTCCATGTTATGGATGGCATCTTTTCTGTGTGTTTCTCACTGCACTGACAAGAATCACAAACTGTTGTGAAGAAGCTGCTCAGAGGGTCCGGTGTGGCTACTTTTTTTTATTTAGAGGCCCTTCAGTAGATTTCAAAGCTGCTGATGAAAGGCCGTGTGGTTTTCTATCATTTATTTTGAAAATCTAAACAGAAAGGATGCTGGACAGTCAGACGGTATGAGGTATCCAGGTTTGCAACTAACAACTATTCATTTTCACCTTTTGGTGGTAAACATGCAGATAGTTTTAGTTTGGTTTGATCTATCTATTTCTACCTTCATCCTGGTACAATGAAGATCAATTGATTTTCACTCACAATATTTAAATATTTCAATCGCGGCAAATCTTTCCAGAAACTGGGGCCCAATTATTTACAGATAAAGTCACTGTGAAAACTGTTTGTACCCAAGTAAGAGACATTTTGTTATTTTCTTTTTGTAATATAGATGATCAGACCTTAAAAGCTACCCACCAGTCTTGAAATGCGGTTCCAAAAGTGAATCACAACTTAAGTAGTTTCCTGCTCGGCACAGGCTCATGCTGCGTTTCATTTTCCATCTGGAAGATTTTTCAGTTTTATTTAAAAGTACAAGAAATGTTTTACTTTCCTTTTTGTCTGCAGCACTGTGTCTCCAGCTGTGTAAATACAGAACTTTTGGATCATTTTATTTTATTTGAAGAAAAAAAAAAAAAGGGATCAGAAAGGAAACTGAGACCTAAAGATGGAGATTTTACCTGGAGGAACTCAGACTCGGCGCCAAAACCTGTAAAGAGTTTGAAGGATTTCTGCCAAAGCTCAGTGAAACAGCTCTGTTCAGGAGTTTTCCATGTCAGCCACTTGTTTAACTTCTCAAAGGACGTTTCTTCAGCTTGTCAGAGCTTGTTAAGCAAACAGGAGCGATGAGTAGTCTGGTAAATGAGGTGATTGTGTTCCAGATGACTGTAATTCCCAAAGTTTTAGAAATTAATTCATGACTTTGGTGAAGAAACTGAAGTGACATTTTTCTCAGCAGACATTTTGACTTTGACAAACACAGGCGTAACAATAACATTACTAATTGTTGCATTGCTTTGCAATAATTGCTGTAATAGGGCCATCATTAAACTGTTCCATCTGTGCTTTTGTCAAAACGATAAATAAACGAGGGCGCTCTGATGCTGCAAGACTATCAAGACTCAGGTTGGCAGGATTTATTCAGACAGAAATACATCATGTTAAGTACAAGATGGACGGACTTTTTTTGACAACTCACTGAAAACTGGAAACGCTCATCAAACAAAGACACCAGCTGAATCTAAAATATGAAAAGGCTTATCTTGCTCTCGAGTTCATTGCCAGTGCAGCAGGAGAGCTTTGTCGCTGCATGTGTGTAAAAGCTGGGTGAAGTTTTTTATCAACCGTGCTCTGCCGTTATGTAGCGTCTCAATCTTTTCTATTTATACAGAACCTTGTGAGAAACATTTCTAAAAAGAAACATGCAGTACATGTTAATACTTTAATATTTGTTGTAGTTTCCCCAGTATTGTTATTGTACTGTAGTAGTTTGGACCAAGGATTAGTCGTCCGGGCGCCGTCCGTTTGTCATGTTTGGTAAATACTTCTAATAAGATACATTAGATTTGGACCATATAATGGCAACTGTGTTTATAACTTTTTCAGATCCTGACTCTGAAAATCCAAAGGAGGAAGAGGAGGAAAAGGAGGAGGAGATAGCCAAGGTACCCCAAATCATTTTTCACGAGGGACTGTTGGGCTTTACAGTGTTGGTCGGCCTCCCCCTGCCAAGAGCAGGGAGTGAATCATACCATAAGAACAGATACAGTAGTTATTAGTTAGTGTATGTATGTTCACTTTCCTGTCGGTGTGTTCCCTCAGAGGACAGGGGGAGGTGACCTCACATCCCCGCAGAAGCTTGAGGACCAGGGTGGCACTTCTGACCTCCTCATCACTGACACTGGTAACACAGTTAATTTAAAAAAAATCTTGCTTTAATCATACCCAAAACCTAAACATTTTAATGGGTTGAATAAAGTTTGAATCAATTGCACTCTTTCAACCTCATTTTTCAGTTTTCTCAGAAAATGTATGAATATTTATGAATAACCGTAACTCATTTTTTATCGGTGGCTGAAAGTTGGCCGTGATATTGCATTTTTTAACATTTATTTATGGGCCTTTAAATTTGTCTTCTAAATTTCCATTTCCACCAGGAGTAAATATATTTTCTTAGATAAAAAGATTATGGGAATGTTTTATAAACTCAGGAGTTTCAGGAGTTTAAAATCATGTGACTAACGTGATGAGGAGGACCCTGGTGAGGTCAAGAGGGTGTTTTTCTTTACATGAAGAAGTGTGCTTTTAAAAACAGGGAAAGAAAGAACTCTTGAATGTGTTGTTGTGTTCTGTTGCAGAAAAGGTGATGGTGGCGGCTGCAGAGGAGCGAGTCGACCCAGAGGTCTCCATCATCCTCAACATCGAAGACAGCGAAGCAGACGAGCAAGAAACCAGCCAGCCGCTCCCTGAGGAGGCTGCTGAGCCCTGCAAAGATGCCGAAACTCCCAAGAAGAAGAAAAAGAAGAGCAAAAAGGGTGTAGAGACGCCAAGTGCAGATACGCCGAGCACAGACGCATCCACCATAGATTCACCCAGTGATACTCCTCTTACCACCAAGACTGCCAGGAAGAAAAAGAAAGACAAAAAGAGACAGGAGGAAGATCAGCAGAAAGAGGAGGAGGAGGAGGTGGTGAAGCAGGAGGAGGACATGTCTCAGGCCACTTCATCAGAGATGAAGAAGAAGGCTAAGAAAAGGAAACGGGAGAGAGATGAGGTGGAAGAGAAAGATGAGGGAACTCTTGCCACTCCTTCAGAAAAAAAAATTAAAAAGAAAAAGAATAAGGTGAGAGATGTAGAAGAGGCGCAGAGCGAGGCAGTAGGGGAGGAGGAGGAGGAGGAGGAGGAGACGCCGGAGAATCCTGCAGAGAAAACGGAGGCGAAAAAGAAGAAAAAGAGGAAAAAGGTGGTGCGGGCTGATGAACGACCAGCAGGGGGCGACAACGACACAGAAAAGCAGCTGGACGCCACAGGTAGAAAGAGTCAGAAAATATTCTCCTGCTCTTGTCTCTTAAATTTGAAGTTCTCTTGAATACATTGTACATCAAAGATAAATGGCTTTGACTCTTAATCAGTGTTAGTAGTTGCTTGAAATGTTCAGTGTAAGGCAATAACAACGGTCCCACCTGGGTCATGGCGTTGTTACAGCTAAGTTCAGGGATTTGTACATTTTCCCTGTCCCACTTCCTTTTAGACGGAAACTCTTCTCAGCTCTCCTCGGCCCAAAAGAAGAAACGTCTCAGGATCAAACTGAGCAGGAAGAAGAGGTTGAGGGTCCAGAAGCAAGAGGAGAAAATGAGGAGGAAGAAGAAGAAGAGCAGCATGACTACGGGACAGACTGAAAGCGCAGCTGAAAGCAAGAAGCTCGCGGGCAAAAAGAAGTCAGTCGAGTTCATGTTTGTCTTTAAACTTCACAGATTGTACACTGTTATTACTACTCTTCATTTGTTGTGGAGAGTTTCATTTGTTTGTCGTACAAAGGATAATTTCTAGAAATAAAAAAATAAAAATATCTGTATTTTATTTTTATACTATAGGAAATTAACATTTTCCATTCTTCAGACAAAAACGGATCCAAGAGGCAGCAGAGGAAACGCCTGGACCAAAACCAGCCAAAAGACCTCAACCTGATCCTGCCCTGGAGGACGAGATACCAAAGAAGAAGAAGAAAAAGATGAAAATAAACCCTGAACAAGAGGAGAATTCCTCAAAAGAAAACCAGCCGCCAAAGACGAAGAAAAAGAAGAGGCCGGTGAAGGAGGAGGATGAAAGTGGTGCTGAGCTTCCTGAAATCGTCTCGCCTCTACTTTCAGAGGAAGGCGAGAAGAAGAAGAAGAAGAAAAAGAAAAAGAAGAAGGTGAAGGCTGGAAAAGACGAGGAGACAACAGAAAGTTCAACTCCCATCACTGTGAGCCACGATGTATCTGCAAAGAAAAAGAGTAAGAAAACTTCTGATTGTGTAAAAGAATTTTATTTTCATAGGGCTGCTGCTAACAACAAATTTAATTATTGATTAATTGTTTAACAACAACAACTGTTTTGTTCTGACTGATGTTTGCAGAGAAGAACAGATTAGAGCAGAAACTGGAAGAGACGGAAGCTGCTGCTGACGAACACACACCAACAACTACTTCTACGGTAACAAACACAGCTGAAATCTGACTCGTGTTTTGACCAACGTTGTCAGAAACAAGTGTTGAAGTATAAACCTGTAGAGGTGTTGTTCTCGCGCAATAATCAGCTTGACGCATCAATACAATTTGTTTTTACAAACTTTTTCTCCTGATATTTCCAGAAAAAGAAATCTTCCAAAAAGACGATCATCTTAGATTAAACCTCTGGGTAAGTTGCTACTGAACATCTTCACTTCGACATCGAGTCTATGCTACAATAGAGCTGCAGCAATTAATCGATAAGTTGTCAACTATTAAATTAATTATCAACTGTTTTTGATAATCGATAAATTGGTTTTCTGACTTTTTATAGATCAAACAAGTAATCGAGAAAGTAATCGTTAGTTGCAGCCCTATGCTATGTTGGGAACTGTGAGCACAAAACAACACACATTTACATTTTAAATCCATCAAAAGTATTTTTACAAGCACTAATAGACTATTTTCTACTTGGACTGAGATGTGATTCCTGCTTTTATAGACTCTTTAGAGACACTATTCATTCACCATCTCACCTACGATTTTAAAAACCATTTGCTGAGATGGACATTTCTTTTCAGTTTGGCTCAAAGCTTACTGAACCATAAGGGAGTCCTGCTTTTCAGAAGTGGTTTACAATAAAAACAAAAAAACAAATGCATAAAATCACAGTAAAACACAATGAAAACACAATGATTATGACAGCGAACTATTTGTGCTTTAGTAATGACTAATAAGGATTATAACCCCCCCCCCCACAGTGTATTCTGTGATCAGGCATCAGTGGAGCCAAAACAACACGGCAGTCTGCATAATGTGCCTTTACTCCTGAGTTTTCTGTCTGTTCCTGGGAGGAGATACCCTTTCATCTCTGAAAACACTGATGTTCCCTCTCTCATGTCATGTTTCACAATCTTTTGCTCTAAAACTGTGAAAACGATACAACTAACATACACGATTACAACTTTAAAAGACCGTCAGCAGATTGGAGCTGTTAAATCTAAATTCAGCCAGTTGGTTATCTCAAGGGCTGGTTATCATTTAAAACTTTCTTTCTATTGTTCAAGTAATAGAAGCCAACATTTAGTCTTAAATATTTTTGTTTAAAATCAAAGAACAACTGAACTTCATTACAAATAGGTCTAAAATGAACTTCGTTTACTCTGTCAGTTGCTTTGTCTATAAATTGTTTTTTTTAATAGTAGTGAAAAGAAAGAACATTACCATAAGTGAAAGTTTTCAAACATCCCAAAACCTAAAGATATTCAGTTTACAGTGATATAAAACTGAGAAAAGCTGAAACCAGACAATATTTGGATTGATTAATTACTTAAGCAATGAATCATTTTCTTTCAGTACACTTGATTTCAGCTCTGATTATGAATCTGACCAGACATTCGATGCCAACTGTCGGGACTAGTTTGATACTTGGAGCTACATTTTGGTCTAAATCAAATAAGAAGGATAATAATAATAATAGTATGCAAGTTTGATAAGCAGCCCTAGTTATTCCTACTCCTCTGCGTCAGAGAAATATATTAATAATATTTGTATTATAAAAGCCGCAATCTACATCCAACCAGAAGTGAAAGAAATAATGAAGGGGGGCTGTCTCAGTCAGACCCATTTGTCATCTTGGAAATAAAAATATATAACAGTGACTGTCTTACAGCCCGGGGCGTCGTCTTTTGCCACAATCTAAATAACACTACCTTTGCTGGTAGGACAGGTGAGCTTTGCGGCGTTAACTGCTACATAACCTCGGCTAGAAATGAGCTTTACGGGAACTAGCTGTGAGAGAGAAACATTTCGTTCAGGCCATGTTGGAGAAATAAAAGGTTTCTGTTGGTAAAGTGTAAATGAGCTGATATTGACGGTTAAACATTTTTCCGTGTTTATGAGGTTAAAAAAAAAAAGTAGTTTGAGGAAGAAGACGATTTGCTTTTCTTTCAGTCACAAAGCTGTGAAATTCTGTTTTTATTTGGAAATGGTTTTGTTTACAGAGTTCTGTTGTTTACACACTGTTTTTCTTTATAATCCCATGAGCTGTTAACTATGCATCTGATTAAATCTTGTTGCTTGGAGGGAAAATTAACAAATTTCACTACTTGGACTTATTTTATTTTATTTTTTTTGTGCTGTTTCTGAGGACCAACATGGGAAAGATAAAATAAAACTCTGTAACAGCTTTAATTCTGCAGTGTTTCTTGCTATTTCACCATCATACTGTTGCCATGTTCGTGTCAAGTGGGAGTTAATATCATTTAATCAGATGAAACTGGTCATTTTCTGACTTGTTCATGTCTAAGTAGCTGCGATATATCCGACAAAAGTTCCTGAAAATGCTAACAGATATGGACACGTCACGTTTACTGTTTAAAACTCTAAATTTAAAAGACAACAGTTATGTTGTCTATGCATAATATTTTTAACCCCCATACAACCAACATAGCAATCTTGAATTGTCAGATGACGTGAACGCTCACAAGATGGAAACATGGAAATCCATCCCACATGACATGAACACAGAGCACATCCCACAATTCATTTCATCTCACAACAATGAATCTGACTTCACACCAAACTAAAAATCTGCTCATCTTGTCAAGATCGTGTCAAGATTTTAACTTGGCATGAAACAGTATGAAATGTTCCCGCTACAATTTAAACATCAACAACAGCTGCTAGTGTCCTTCCTCAACTGACACACGGGATCCAGGTGGTATGGCAACAGTTCTGAGGCTGACAAGAAGGCTTTTCAGAGAGTCATAAATACAGCCCAGAAGATCACCAACACACATCTGCCTGACCTGGAAGACATCTACAGCTCTGGCTGCCTGCGAAAAGCACTCTCGAAAAGACCCATCTCAAAGCGTCTCGAAAGACCCATCTCACCCCGCCCATCACTTGTTTATCCTTCTGCCCTCAGAAAAAGCGCTACCGGTCCATCAAAGCACACACCACAGGACTAATGAGCAGTTTTTACCCCGAGGCCATCACCAGGCTGAACTCTGCACTGAAAGAACATCCCTTAGCCAATACTTCCACAGTGCAATAACTCCTCTATGCAATACTTGTGCAATAGCTACGCCTGTGCAAAATCCCAAACCATCAGTCCTATTGAGCCAGTGAGTCTGTGGAATACTAGGGGCTCAGGTAGTGCACCTGAATTTTGTTGAATACACCAGGGCAGTGACAAAGACATTCAATTCTATGTATGTTTACATATGGCTACTTAATTTGGATTCTTATGATTTGTGCCCCCAAAACAGGTGATTTGAATTCTAACCAGTTGCACGTTTGCATCACCAGCTACACAATAATTCACTGATAATTCCTTCAGTCTATCTGGTTTTCGTTAAAACAGCACATTAAACCTGTAGCAAATTTCTTGTCTTACATGAGTGCAACAGAGAAATACTTGGGATTGGACGTTGATTAGTTAATTAGTATTTCTGACACAGCTGTAATGTGGGTCCAAATAGATAAGTGACTTTGTTTTGTTCCTCTTACAATCGATCAAAAGCACATGTCATGCTGTTGACTAGCAATTTGTGTCTAACTACTAACAAAACAAGACATCTGAAAGTTTTTTAAAGAAACTTTACACTCCCAGACCTAGTTTTTTCGTTTGGTGCTGAGCTTCAGAAGAGAGAAAAGTAAAAGCAGCTAAGAGACGATAATGATATTGATTCATAACAGTGAGAAGAAAATGGGTTTTTCACACACGCACACACAGTTCTGTATTCGCTGTCTTTCAGACAAACACGGCTTTTACCTTAGGTATATTTTATTGTCACATACACATACATGTTGCAAAATTCATTCTCTGCATTTAACCCATGCCTCAAGGGAGCAGTGGGCAGCCGCTGTGCAGCGCCCAGGGACCGACGCCAGATCTGAGCCAGTGTCGCTGGGTCAATGGCACTGACTGGAGAACATGACGTTTTTTTGTTCACAGAAATGTGAATATGTAGGAAATTAAACTCTTGAAAGTACAAGCTGTGTGACACAATTCCTGTCGCCGTGTAAAAGACAAAGATTGACGTAGCAAATGAAGCTGTATTTTCCTAATCTCTGAAACACGGCAGCCCACATAAACGATCGACGGTAAAACATTGTCACATTTATTGCTCTATATATCATGTCATCTCTTTCAGGTAACTGTAGAAAAGTAGATTTTTCAGTTACAAAGACAATTTTAACTGGTGCAGACTTTAGGTTTCCTGCTTCATGTAGTTCACATTTAGCAATGTGTACTTTTAGGGATTTTGTTTTGTAACTTGTGCGTTTTTTCCAATACATATTTTTTCTCTCAAAATAAGACTTTTTGTTGCAGTAAGTGTGCAAACAGAGTGAAGGGTGCCACTTTATTAAAAAAGGAGCCCAATGTGGATTCAGGAAAGAAAAACAATCATAAATTTGGATGTGATGCTAGTGTTTGTTTGGATGTAAGATGTTGATGACATCAGGGTGGTGAAGAGCCATGTTTGCTTTGTGGCACCAGTTTGTGTCTCTTATGAAATCGATTTTGAGAATATATATATGAAACCTTTGACCAAGCAGGATTTAACAGGACATTTCTAAAATCCTTACAGAGCCTTCTGTCCTGCTGATACACAAAATATCCCGTCCGCTGTACAATCAAGTATATTTGACCTGTTATATAAGCTGTGACTCGAACCCAAGACCAAAGACCACTGTTGGACGAGTCAGCAGATTACAGCTGTTTACTACTGCCAGTTTGGGTCGAGGAATAGAGTCAAACCTTGTGCAACAGGTTAAAATGCTGCTTTTACTGTAGACAAGAGGAAAATTTATTTTAAGTGATCACTGTAATTTCAAACGCCCCGTGATGATATACAAATGTTTCAATGATTAAACTGTTTTAAACTACCACTGTAGGATTCAGAGCTGCTGAAACTGCTTTCTTTTTAACCAAAAGTGAGATCACTAGGGCTGAGCAATACAGTTAAAATCATTGTCACGATATTAATATGGATCTGTTCCGGTATCAATATAATCACGTCATCACTTCAACACATTTTGGTACTTTCTAATTCTAGGATTCTTAGATCATTAATTTGAAAGAAATGTGTAAACAATATCATGATAAGATCATAATATCCCAGTCATGGGATAACACATAACGTGATTCTGCTAAAAGGTGATAAACAATAATATTGACTTATCACCCAGCCCTTATAACTACACAATAACTACCACATATTAAGTAGCACCTTGTATAACAGTAAAGTAAAACTGCACAAAGGGTGGGCGACTGGCAGTAGTGAGGACGCAATAATTACTACTGGCTTCTTTTGTTTTAAGAAAAGTAAATAGTTCAGACAAAATAATAATAATAATAAAAGTATCTTCGGTTTATGGGCGGCACGGTCGTCCAGTGGATAGCGCTGTGGCTTCACCGTAAGAAGGTCACTGGTTCAAACCCCGTGTCTGTGTAGGTTCTCTCCGGGGGCTCCGGCTTTCTCCCACCATGCAAAGACATGCAGGCTAGGTTGATTGGTGACCCTAGATTGTCCTTAGGTGTGAGCGTGACTGGTTGTTTTGTCTATATGTGGCCCTGTGATGGACTGGCGACCTGTCCAGGGTGTACCCCGCCTTTCACCTGGTGTCAGCTGGGATTGGCTCCAGCCCCCCTGCGACCCTGTACGCAGGATAAGTGGTTGAAGATGGATGGGCATGATGCATTTTCCATTAAATTTAAACCTAATTGTATAATGTACTTATCCGACATACTGTAAGTTTGATCTCACTTAACATGATGCTCACTTCAGCTTTATAAAAAAAAAAACATTTCACAAACTTTTCATGAAACTGATTTTCTGTGTTTTTCTCCCTCCTCAGCGTCCCTGCATTTAAAACGCCCACACAGACACAAAGTACAACACAATTATTGAGTGACTCTTGTCTGGATCTGATACAGGAATGATCTTGGATGTGATTACATACAAATGTGATTAAATACAAAGAGCTGATGCAGCGGCCGTGCAGAGCCAGCAGCATTTAAGTGGTCATAATGACATCTGCGGCACATTAAATTCCTTTTATACGACCATGTTCACTGTCTGGAGAAGAACCTTTTCTTTAAAGTACCATACTTACATGAGTATAAAATTGTTAATGTTACTTTATGACTTTCAAACTTTATTTTCTTTGCATGTTTCTGGAGCTTATTCATTTATCAAACTGATTAGAGCTCAAATGATTGGTTGGTTAGTTGAAGGACAGAAAAGTAATCAGTCACTGTTTTCATAATCAGGTATTTTTGAAATTCACTGGTTCAAAACTCTCAAATGTGAAAATCTGCTGGTTTTCGTAGCCTTCCCTAATAGTAATCCGAATACTTTTGGATTGTTAGTCAGACATTACAAGACATTTGATGGCGTTACATTGGGCTTTAGGAAATTGTAATTAACATTTTTAGACCAAATGATTAAACAATTAATCGCGAAAATAATACAGATTAACCGAAAATAAAAATAACTGTTAGTTGCAGCCCTAGATATATTAGATGTGAATTATATTTTGTTAAAATCTAATTGTTTTAACAGCTGTGGAGTTTATGAAACTTAGTTGTTGACTTAATTGTTGAAATAAACAAAGTCAGCCTGCCTATCCCTTATATAACAGTAATGTAAAACACACACTGCAGCACACACACAGTCATTTGCTCAGGAAACATAAACTGCATCAGTTTTTCCAAGATCTCATGAAAAATATGAAAACAGCCACACATCAGCACCACCTCTCTAAGTTTATGAGATGTTGCAAATCCAGTCTTGCACATTTAATTATACTCCAGATCTGCAAACAGTAAATCGCCTCCAGCAGCACCACTTTTCTTCTCCAGACATCCTCTAACCTCCTATTTCCCTGAAGGACAGCTGAAGCTTTATTTCGTGTTTTCATCATGTCAAAAACCTTCAATGCTTCCATTAATTATAGTGATGGAAAATGGGGGGGGGGGGGGTACAATGTTAAGAGTACGTTTCCAGTATTCTTTTACAATTACTCAGCTTTCTCTTTCTGCTTCTTTCAGTAGTGCGCTTTCCTCAACAAAATAAAAGATTCAACCAACAGCTAAAGCTTTCTGCTTACATTAGGCCTCCTGTCAATCACCTGATGCCAGCTATAGCACGAGTGCAGGTTATATTCAGACCTTATTTTTT